GCGTCTTTTTTTATTTGTGTATTTTTTTCAAATTTCAATAATTGTGGCTTCAATTTTTTAGTAATTGTTGTTTCAAGTTTTTTTTTCCAATTTCTTCTTTTTCAAATGAACCCCATCGAAATATGTGCTTGGCGCATTTTTTTACAAAAACATGTATGATATAACTCACTTCTCGTGTCAGCAGCGACAGCAGGAGGAGGGGAGGTTCGAGAATTTTCGGAGACAACAGAGTTTTCCTCTAGACTGCTTTTCGATGTATTCATCTTTTTGTAGTTTCTTCTTCTCTTCTCACTTCAATTTATGTGGGAAGATACGGATGGGTTTTTCATCAGATAAATTATTATTACAATAATTATTATTTTTGGTGGACCTAGAGCATAGATTTACCATTGTTCATTTTCTTTTCTATCGAATTGGATCTGGACCAATTTTGGGGATATGTAATTGGACTAATTTGATTTCTTCATTCCGAGAACTCTCAGACATGTTCTATTTCATTTTTTTCCAAGAAAATTTAAGTCCCTACGGAACGACCTACTGAAGCCATGGAACCTAAATTTGGAAGCGTTTCTGATCGGTGGTCCTTCCGAAACAATGACCTGGTGCCTAACTTTTGATTAAAGTTTCTTTTGGAGTTTGTTGGTGCCAGAGGACAGCGTAACGGAAAAAGGTTTTCTGTGGACCTTTCGAAATGACGTGGCAAGGTTAACGCAATCACGATCGTTATTGTTTGAACACACAGTTCTGACGACTAATTTAGTAAACGAATTTTCAGAAGCATTGCCTTTTGTACATGACGCACACAATCAACGGCCAAGTTAACGGAGCATCAGCTTTGCCATGACGATGTCCAGGTCGATAAGAAATTTCAAAGTTTTAACAAGAAAGAAATTCTATCCATCGAGGAATCTGATTGGTCGGTTTCTGGAATAACATGAGGCAGTATGATTGATATGGATCAGAAACTTTCTATCGAAGTGATATTTAGAAAATGTTTCACCAGCTTTGATGACAGGCAAGAATTCGCGTAATACAATAATTAGGTAGACATTTGCTGTAATAGGCAATGAGCTTTTCTTGATTGCTCTGTAATTGAAAAAGTGTAGCGCCAATGGCAGATTGAGAATTGTCAGTATTTAGAATTACTTTGGTATTAGGTAAAGGTGTCGATAACATTATAGGAGGAGTCCAGACATGCTTTAATTTATTGAAGGCTGAGCGGCCGTCTTCTGACGAAATGAAAAGAGTTTTGCTATCTACAATTTTGTGGGGAAGTGTAACGATAGAAGCAAAACCTTTTACGTATCGCCGATAGTATGAACAGAGACCAAGAACACTGTGTAATGAAGTTTTCTCTGCCGGGATCGGTCAATTAATGGTGACTGCCTTGTTTCCTGGGGAACAATTGATCCTGTTCTCAGACAGTAAATAACTTTTCTTAAAATTGACTTTGTGGTTGACTGAAGCTAGCCTATTGAAAATACGATGAAGGTTTGATAGATGTTCTTTGAACAATCTAACCAGAACAAGAATATCGTCAAAATGGACCAAGTCTATTCTCGGGGATAATTTCAATTCGCCAATAATCAGTTTTAAGATCTATATGAGAAAACTAATAAAATGCCTTCGGTCCATTAATAATTCCTTTTTTGAAGAAATTGGTATACAGGGTGTAACTTAATAAGTGTAATACCTCCCGACCACGAGTTCAGGGATCCCTCCTGGACACTAGAAAATAGGAAAAAAAAAATTTACTCGACCTATTTAAATAAAAAAAAATAAATTAAAAAAAAAATTATGGGGCGTTAGTGTGAGTGGTAGAAGTCGACTGAGATATGACAACAGCGCATGAGAGACGTCGGGAAGTGAGAGAGGTAGTTGAGTACCACTGTTCTGCCGTGAATTTCGGACCGACACGCATGGAGCATAGAGTAACAACATGGACATTATTATGTTACACCGTGTAAAATCGTTCGTTGTGACTTTGTTGCGGACACTGGGTCACTAGGTAGGCCAAAATATAAGAGAAAAGGTGAACCTTTCAGGTAACTTGACCGTAACTAGTAGCGACAGGTAGTGTCCGGAGAAGGAAAGATCTTATAGATCTCACTCAATATGGGGGGCCGATTGCGTGGGACTAAGCACTGAACTGCACAATGGTTACTAAGTGAGGAATTAGCACACAAAGACAAAGATACCCTTGAGTTCCCTTTAAATAGAGTTTAAAATTTATTACACTTCACTTGAAAATACAGAATAGTAGAAAGTCCAAGATAAAAACCGGGGAATAGGGGCAGAAAAAGTGTAGGTAAGAATAGTGTATATGTTGTTGGTGTGTTTTTTCTGACTTACGGTGGAAGAAAACTACGGTGTAGGGATGAGTGGGTGATCTCTCGGTGGCTCTCCTCTACGTAGCGGATTCCGGAGAACTCCAAAATGTACTAGATGCTCTAGCGCTGATGGAGCTGAAGATCCTCGAACACGCTTCGTTGGTGGTAGTGGTGATGAGGTGACTCTGGAGGTGTTGCTGGTGAGAGTGGATCTGAGTTTAAATAAAACTCGGTTGACAACTGGATCTAGATGCTGGTTTGTGGTGCTCGGCAGAAATGGCCTGGGCTGGATGCCCGGGTTGGACTCAGTCAGATACTGAGAAAATCACCAGCTCGTTGCTGGCTTGTGTAGAAACCTCGGCTGATAGCTCGGGTTGAACTCGTTGTGTTGCTCAAAGATTTGCCAGATCGTTGCTGGGCTTGCAGAAAACCTCGGCTGAGAAGCTCGGGGTAAACTCAGTTAAATACTGAGAAAATCACCAGGTCGTAGCTGGCTTGCAGAAAAACCTCGGCTGAGAAGCTCGGGTTGAACTCGTTATATTGCTCAAAGATTTGCCAGGTCGTTGCTGGGGTTGCAGAGAACCTCGGCTGAGAAGCTCGAGTGAACTAGTAGTGCAGTCAGGCTATGGCCAGTGATGAATTGGGCTTGCAAAAGCTGGCTTCCAACAGACCGATCTTGAAGGATGAGCTTTAATGATGAGCAAGGCCCCTCGTTGAATACCAAGAGTCGAAATTTTACTTTGGACTCGTTGGTTAAAGTTGCACACTCAATCTGGGGTTGGAAGTTGAGTTAAATGCTCGAACTGTGCCCCAGTGGTGACGTCAGAGGGTGGTCCTGCAGACTTTCCCCCTTGAAGACTGATCTTGGAGAGTCGACTGGTTGAAGAGCAGGACACCACTTGAAGATGATTAGGAGTCGAAGATTTAATTTAGACTGCCGGATCTGGCGAAAAACCGCCCTTTATATACTGTTCGGGCGTGATTCCCCTACGTCCGTTGATTTTTGATTCTTAGTCACCCGACGTTTTTTTGAGATATGGAGGGAGGTATCTTCATATGTTTGACAATGTATTCAAAAGGGATGTTTCGGGACGATGTACCCTCTCTCTAGTGTCACCCCCTGTTTCCCCAGGTGTGGGAGAGGGTTTTGAGAGAAAGACAGGACGATCGATCTTTGGCCTCTCTCTAATTAATGTTCTTCTAATGTCAAAACATGGATGTTTATGTATTTTCCTGACGCTCACGGCCCATAAACTAGACGTCTTCTTTGGCGATGGATAACTATTGTTCATTAGAAAACTGGCGTGTCAAGCGGAGTGGATCCTTTGAGGATGAAGGTGTCCCCTTGTTTGGACAACTACAAATCATCTGGTGAATCGCGCCAATTCCTAGAAGCCATCTCATAATTTTCATTGGGCATGGGGTGTCGATGACATCCTAGCTCGTAAACTAGTCATCTTCCTGACAATGGATAACTATTATTCATCCGTAAAACTGGTGTGTCGGGCGGGCTGGACTTTTTGAAGATGGAGATGTCCCCTTGTTTGGACAACTAAAAATCATCCGGTGGATGGTCCCGATTCCTGGAACCCATCTCATAACTTTCGTTGGGTATGGGGTGCGGATGACGTCATGGTTCAAGCCAACCCCCTGTAACCAATGGGGGGAGATATTCACGCCAGATGTACCCCCTTATTGGTCTGCTTTTTTTTTGTCGATATCGACAAACCAATGGTTGAGGCAGTCCATTTCTGAATTGCCGACATCTTATTTCTTTGAGTCTATTCTCATCTGTGTTTACCATTGGAGGGTTGTTTATATTGGTGCCCCCATGTTCAATTGAGAGAAGAAAAGAAGTCAAAAGAATCTCTTTAGTTATGCCTTTGAGCAATTTGTATGGCCTCCTCTGAGTGTTTTGTGATTTCCAGGTGTTGTCCTTTGATGGTCATTCCTTGACCCTTCGGAGGCCCGCATGATGATGACTGTTTGAGTGCCCCCCCCCCCCCCCCAGGGGGTCTACTTTCATCGCGTTAACCTCACATAATCGATGTTTTGACTGGGTTTTCCAACACTTCTCACCATTGTGCAGGGTTTTTCCGAGTCCCTTTGTATTATTTATAACCTAGTGTTGTACAAGGTTTTTATATTTATTAAATAGAAATTTTAACCGTAGTAAACAGCGGTGTCCGCAACAACTTTATTAAGTAGATTCGTCTTTCCTTTGAACCAGCACAGCGTAAGAACACCAAGGACTACAACTATGTTCGATGGTGACGTCCTTCAACATGTTCTCCAAAAGATCAAAAGTACCCAAACAGAAATTGCAACTTGAATACATCTGGTCACAATGTTCGCTTGCATGGTGTAACGGTGACGTTAGGTTGCAAGTTTACAATATATTCGGGTGAACTCATGACGCTTAGTAATCTGACAATCGGTTTGTCCACTAGCTTTCAATGCAACCTTTTGTACGGGTAAAAATTCAAGCTCAGAATAAATTTGTATGCAGGCCATTGAAAAGCGTCTAATTATTTCACTTGAATATTTCACTTAAATGAATAATGTAATGCTTTTTTTTTGTTTGACTGATTATTATTATTTTTAAACTTTGGCCTTCCACTAAAAATTATATAAATAAAATACATTTTCAAATTCTTTTTTAATATTAGAGCGTGTTTAGTATTTAACATTTTTTGACAATCTCCTAAATCCATCCTAACGCTATCCGGCTTAGCTATAAAGGAAAAAAAAAATTTTGGTGACATCCTTCCGATATTAGTAACGAGGAAAAAAAATAATACTAGAGATTTATTTACCTTTTGGAGGTTGTTTCCAGATCCATTCAGATTCGGATGATTCCTCTGTATTGTGAATCCATAAAGTTGGATTGTACGTTTGCAGTCTCTCCCAGTAATTATCGATCTGTTTTACTCTCTCATTACTCGTATTACGCATTTCTTGTTCGTCATTGGATCCTGCTGAACTTGTACTCGGTAATGGTAATGACTGATGAGGCGTCAGATTTGTATATTTTTTTTTGCGATCGATGACCATCCTATCCTTTCGCTTGCGGTAGCGCTGTTCCAATGGCGGTCTTTGCTTCCTTCTCAGTGATTCCTGGATGTGAAGCCATCAGTGCCTCCAAACATGATAACAAAGGTTATAATGGGATTCGTTGCCTGACAGGTGACAATGAAAAACATTGGGAGTTAGAACTCACCAGTGATACGCTCCATAAATTGAGGAAGGTTCAGCTTCATCGCCAATTTGTCACTCCTTTTTTTATGGCTGTATATTGCATGGCAACCTCTCATGACATGAATTTTCGGAGGAAATCGCAAGTAGTGATGGATAACTTGGAAGACTTCAATCGTTTCATCACTCGTAGCTAAATGATTAATCAAGCAAATGAATTGAAGGGCTTTCTGCTTATTATTTTTAAGGAGTTGAATACTTACGATATGAAAAAAACATCGATAACTACAGACCAATTTTTGTTCAAAATGTTAAAGAAGTACGATAGAACAAATATGAAGCTCGGTGTAAAATTTTTTAGGCATCGTCAAGTCAGTTGATACGAAATCATCATTCGCATATTGGAATCAACATTCAATAGTTATCAATCTTTCATCGATTCTCTTCATGTTTTCTTTCTAAAAAATTACCGTTGTGGGAGCAGCATAATGATTTTTCTATCTTCTGTTTTTTGGGCGTAGGTCCGTTCGAATGATTCCACGCAGTTTGTTGCTGTTGAGCTGTTTCGTACTCCATCTCACTCATTTTTATTCTCAGAACGTTGATATCTTCCACTAGCATTGAAGGAATCAAATCCTTTTCTAAGATAGTTAAAGATACGTCAGCGATTTGGCCATTATCGAATGCATTAAAATCAGAAGGAGGTATAAGTTATCGACAATCATTTTTCATCAAATGGTGTAGGGAACGAAATAAGTTATTTTCAATGCCGTAAAAGTTACAACTTCTGCGTTTTTAGACATTATCGAATTTTGTCAGTTGAATGCAGTGAATTTGAAATTGATGACTTTTATTACTATCGACTGAGTGTACCGTAAAATTGTAAAAAAAATAATTTCTGTACAACGATTAACCCCTTTACTTATTCTTCGATGACTAGAGAAATATAATTCAACTTACAATTTTGCTTGCCTGAATTGAAGTGCCTGAATAGGCCAGTCAAATTGGACCTTAAGCTTTCGTAACCTGCTGCTTTTGTAGCGAGGTTTTGTAGCGCTGTCTTTGTTGAAAATGCATACTCGTGTCCCTCTTGCTTGATTTGCTCCAACAGACGTTCGGCTCATTTGTAGTTTTTTTCATCGTTGAAGTTTCTTCTTTGCTCTTGATGCAAGTACCCATTTTAATAGGACAACATCCACATCCACAACATCCGGTGGTCTATCACGAAGATGAAATGATACCAATAAATACTTCTTGAGGGAAGTATCTTTCGCATGTACTCGTATAGAATCATCCATATCTGTGAATGGAATTTTGAACATATTAATAATCAAAGTATTCGTGAAAAAAATTCTGTTGAGGTGGTAAAAGAAATTTTTCTCATGTTATTTGATTTTTCCGGTTTAAAGCAATGTGAATGATTTATCCAGCATGATAACACAAATATATATGGATCTGTGAATTGTTCAGAGATAACTGGTATTTGGAAATTTAGGAGACATTTCTTAGTCCTGACTGTCTACACTTCTATTGGCCACGGCAACCACTTAGAGAATACACGGAGAGAAAAATCTATGAAATTTTATATTGTGATTCCGATAAAAATTACAGTGTTGCCTTAGAATCTAGGTGTAAACTGCAGGCCTGAGAAAAATTACTATGCCATGTAGTAACATTTCTTCATCGGCCGAGCAAAACTTCGTTATCGGCCAAATAAAAATTCATAGTCGTCGCAACAGTTACCATTGTTAAATTCAACTTCGGCAAGAATCGGAAACATTCGACGTTCATCGCTAACCCATCATATTGGGTTGAAAAATGTTTGGAGAAAATGCTGTGTTGCACAGTAAAAGTTAAAAGAGAGCACAATAAAAAATACCGATCTGGATAGGAATTTTTGAAGGATTTCTATCAATTTTTCTTTCAAACTCAAACAAAAAATGATAGACCTTCAAATTTTATAGTGCTGTTTAGTAACTTTTATGGAGCCACACATGATTAATTACGGAATGTATAAGAAAATTTGACGTATTGATAGTAGTTTTTATTTGCGAATCAAAGAAGTTCTAGTATTCTAGCATTTTGAACCACGATTGTAGTGCTCAGCACAGTAATTTTTCTTGGACTTTTCTCTCCGTGTACGTGCATTTTTATTAGTGAAGAAAAGGGATAAGCCAGAATTCTGGACATGTGTTAACCACCCGGACAATTTATAAAATATAGCAATCAGGCTATAGCACAAAAAATGAGCAATTTTGTATCTCGGGAAATAAACCCTTACAATAAAATAGAATTGTCCAGAATTTCCTCATTACGTGATTTATCGAGGTGTTGTAGAAGTTTTCTTCAAGATATTTACCATGATACATAAAGTTGTTCGTGCCTCCCCAAAGCGTATTTTCTTAAGTTTAAAGCCCGGATGGACTCTCTACCGAATGTCATCGTTTCATTAAATTTTATCTTTTTAGCCTAAAATACATTGAAATTTAGGATCAAATTTGTGTTGCGGGAGCTACTCGAATGATTATAAAAAAATAATTTAAAAAAAGAAGAAAAATTATTGAAGGGCGCTAAAAAGCTGTATTGTTCAAAAGGGATCTACCGAGTATATAAAAAAATAATAAAAATTACGCAGCTTACCATTGCTCTCCAGAAGATTGAGTGGCAGCTAGATGCAATAGTAAGCTATGTGTTTTTGATTATTTTTTAGCAAGCTTGGTAAATCCCTTTTAAATAATATCGATCTTTAGCGCCCTTCAATAATTTTTGCTTTTTTTTTAAATTATTTTTTCATGTCCATTCAAGTGCTTCCCGCAACACAAAATTGATCCCAAATTTTCATGTTTTATACTCTGGTTATTATCTTAAAAAGATAAAATTTAAAGAAAAGTCGACGTTCGATAGATAGTCCACCCGGCCTTAAACTATAATTTTCAAAAAAAATTTTGAATAATTCACAAATTAAAAAAAATGAATTGAACAATTGAGCAATTGAAGCATGGAATTGACTAGTAATTTTATATCATTTTTTTATGATAAATAAACTTGAAATTATTGGCATGTAAATTATACACAACTTTGATCGAGGCTTCACCTCTTTCTATGTTATCAAATCCCGCAGTAACGTTTAATCCAGGCTGGTTTTTATATAGTTTCCATATTTCCAATTTGGATGAATTGATTTGGCTTTCAAACATTACATCTTTTTTGTGCCAAACTGTCCCTTGAATGTTTATTCTGTTTCCATAATCACGAATCTCAGTAATCACGATGATTTGTTTATTTTGTAGTATAACACCGTTATCAGGAGCTTTTTTGGAAAGTAAACATCCTTTAGACTGGACTTTTTAGATCCTACCAGATTGGTCTTTTTTAAGTATTTCCATCTTAAGATGAATTTCCACCTCGTGATCTAGGATAGTTTGCTCATGGAGACGACGACATAATTGAACAATTGTATTGTGAGGTAATCGCAAATGCCTTTTGATTTTCACTACTAAGTTTTCAAATGGAAATGCAGTCATTTCACTTAAACTACAGCCAAGATTAATCACCACATCAACCACCTGCAGAATATTATGTGTATTCAAAGTGGCGGTACTTTTTCCATAAATGTCTACAGCATGTATAAGAAAACGGTAAAACAGTTTTAGGCTAATTGATGATGATTATCTGCTATTCTTTTACACCACAGTAATTGCGACCCAATGACGAATAAGAGAAAATTACGATATTATTCATCACTTAAAACCCCCCCCTTAAGACAACAATCCTGCGTACAACGCAAAAAATACAATTATACTTCTCTGTCTCGTCCTCGCGATCAAATATGGTAGAAACGCTTTACTATATGGTCTCACAGATTTCCCAAACAATTAAAAAAATTTCCCGCTCCTAGTGCCACATACGTCGCCTGGTCGGTACTCTAGGGCTCTGTCTTCATTACGTTTTTCTGTGCGGTTTCAAGTAGTCCCAAAGATTTTTGTTGATCAAAAACGAGAGTTGTTATTTAAATGCGATAGAATAGACTACTCTCAACGGCACAATGAATTCCCGGAAGGGCAGCAGTCATCACTACAAAAAGAGACGACGAGAAGATAGCAGCGGTCGGGAGGATATTCTACGGAAACTTCGTAGATTGGGAAAGGAGGTTAGGTCTAGCAAGCCCTCGCATCATACCAGGAGGGATTCATCTTCAGAGGCCGAGAGTTCTGATTCATCATATTCTCCAACTTGGAGAAGAAGACGCAATGCGTCTGATTACCAATACGGCGGTGAGCGTGTCCCACGCGGCACGATACGTCTCAGGTACGAACGCTCACCTAGCTTGAGCTCAAGTCAATACAGCGATAGGGTGTCCCGATCAAAGTCTCCTCCCATCAGACTTGAAGGAAGGGGTGATTCAAGACATCAACAGGGCTCAGACGTGGAAAACCTAAGAGGTAAAGGGAATGATGCAAATATCGAGGCATCTCAAGCAGGTAATGCTGACGAGAATCTAACCCAAAAGGCCGATGAGACATGAATTACTAACGAATTATTAAACCCCTTGGGAGAAATCCCATCTAATGAGTCAGAATTGAGTCCAGATATTCATACAGCGCTTGAAACAAGATGGACAATACTTTTACACGAGGGATTGAAACGAGAAACTCGCGAAGAGTTACTCAAAAAATATCCCACTGCAAGGAATTGCCTATTACTGAAACCCCCCACAATAAATCGTGAAATTAAAGGTGCATTAAGTCAGGTTATATTGAAGAAAGATTCTTATCAGGTCCACACTCAAAATCAGTTGGCAGCGGCCATGACAGCGCTAGCGACTGGAATGCAAGTAGCTCTGAAGGCTAAGGAATCTCTCGAGAAGCCAACGATCAATATTAATTACACTCAAATGATATTAGCGCTAAACGACTCCAGTTGGATACTGGCTAATCTCCATCACCAGATCTCATCAACTAGAAGAGCAGTAATAATACCAACGTTAAATACTTTGGTTAGAATAGCTGTAAATTCAAATGACAAGGCTGATCATTGCTCTTTGGTAAAGCTTTGACAGAAGCTTTAAAAGCAGCAGAGACGGTGGAGAAATCGTCAAAAAACATCACGAAGCCCAATGTTACACCGAAGCCATGGACAGATTATGGAAGAAGCGGAAAAGGCCAATATCAAAAGGGCACGTCCACTGGGCCTTTAAACTCCAAGGGCCCCTCCAAGAAACCATCAACATTGAATCGGAACTCTCGGATGAAGAGGCACAAGTCGAGGAGTGCTTATCAATCGAGACGATAAATGTAAGCAGAGTTGCTGGACGTTTAAAACTATTTTTCCCTCAATGGAGAGCCATGACATCAGATCCCTTCATCCTGTCAATCATAAAAGGTTATAGGATTCCATTTATGCATCAGCCTCGTCAGAGCGTAGCTCCAGTTAAATCAAAATTTTCTCTAGAGAAAACGCAGGTACTTTCTATGATGATTACAGAAATGTGTAAGGAAAAAATTATTGTCAGTGTTGATCCTATTAAATTTAAAGCAGCTGAACAGATTCGTTGAAGTTCCTCACTTCAAAATGGAGGATCTTAAGTCTGTACAGAGATTGATGAGGAAGAACTAGTTTTTAGCTAAAATGGATTTGGGGGACTCGTATTTTCTCGTGCCAATTGTGGACTCTTGTAGGAAGTAGCTGCGTTTCTCCTTCCAAGGTTTTCTCTGTCAATTCACCCGTTTACCGTTTGGTTTAACCACAGCTCCATACATTTTTACAAAATTGCTCAAACCTATTGCTCAAATTTTGAGATCTGAGAGAAAAATCTCAGTAATCTACGTGGATGATTTTTTATTAATGGGAGAAACTGAAGAACAATGTTTAAAAAATGTCCAGAGAGCTAAAAAATTGCTGGAGAGCCTGGGTTTTGTGTTGAATTTTAAAAAGTGTCAATTAATACCTTCCCGAACGGTAGAGTTTTTAGATTTCATAATCGACAGTTGTCGTTTTTCCATCAAATTGCCTAAAGATAAACAAGAAAGAATCCTTAGAATGCTTCAAAATTTTCAGAGACTCAGTGTGTATAGGATTAGACAGCTTGCAAAGATGATTGGCACGTAGATATCCGTTGTAACGTCGTATTTTACCACGTTACTAGTTCTCGACAGTTTCGTGATTCCAGAGACTTCCACCAGACGGGAAGTCACCTTCAGTGGCGAGAGTTTTGAGCAGAGAGAAAGAATATGTTTGATTTATTTTATTTGTTCTATTTCGAATTAAATCACGCGCCACCGCGTTTCTGCTG